AAGCCCATTATCCTGATCTCAGTTTTCGACGGGATCGGCACAGTGTCACTTGCCCTGCACCAACTGGGCGCCAACGTCTCCCACTGTTTCCGGTGGGAAACCGATCAGTCCTGCAATCAGCTACCTCATTCACTCTTCCCCACGACGCACATGGGCGCCGTAGAAGATTTTGACATCGAACAACTGGCTGCGATCATCCAGGACATACCCAATCACGAGAGACACATTATCCTCTTCACCGGTGGCCCACCGTGCAAGGACTACTCCAACATTAAACAACACCAACCGGGCCGGGCCGGCTCACAGGGCAGCCTCTTCGACACCGCACTCTCCATCCGCGACGACATTCAGAACAGATGGCCACATCAATCGCTCACCCTGCTAGAGAATGTCGTGCCTCACCCCGAGGTACGCGACGACTTCGACCAGCTGTCCCACTCCATGGGCCTACGCCCAGTCCTGATCGACGCGGCCGACGGCCAAATCATCTCTCGTCCCAGAATCTGGTGGGCCTCGGTCGATTGGGAATCCTTGCCTGCCACATTGAGCAGGCATACACCTTGGCAACTCTCCCTCGACACTCAGCTGTTCCCACCGGTGCTCTTCAATCCCATTGCAGCCGAACTACAACCAGACTGTCACATCCGGGACTTCGACCCGCCGAGTGTCCTAACACACGGACAACTCTTCCACTGCCTTACCACCCAGGCCAGTACGGACGAAGGCCGCCCACCACCACGCAGCCAACAACTACCAGACGACACATGGCAACGGTGGCAAGCCGACCACAAACAATTCGCCCCGTGGCAATACCAACAGAAATACCTGGTCCGGAAACACGGACACGACTGGCAAGTCGCAACACCCGAGCACCGCGAAGCAATGATGGGATTCCCGCGCGGCTGGACGGGACCACACAACACCGACCGGACCAGGAACACCATGCTGGGGAACTCCTGGCATGTGCCCACAGCCATGTGGATCCTATTCCTTTTGCTACTACAGCCAGCCTTCGGAATTCCCCCGCCCATGCAGCGGGTACGTCGCGGATCCCTCGGAATGATGGTCGACCTCTGGCTTCACAACCCACGACCATGGGGACCACCTCCGAGAGCATCGGAAACGCTACATATGCCACAGAACGACTGGCAGGACCACTTGACCTGGGCCAAACACCACGCTACCTCGCTGCAACAGCCCCAGCACTGCGACCCGACCATTTTGTGGGCCATCGCAATGCAAAGGACCATACCACAACTGCCACAACTACAGCACAACGTGTTACTCGACATCGCGGACCTTCGCGATGACCTGACTACAGATACACTTGCATGGTTCGAACAGCTGCCCCCACACTGCCAGCGAGCCTATCGACAACCGAAGATGATCACTCAGGTACCACTCATGACACACTTGCTACATTTGCTTAACTACCCACAGGCACAACTCCTGCACGAGGAACTCTCTCTAGGCTTCGACCTCCTGGGGCCTCTGCGACCCGGAGTCAATTGGCACATTCGCCACGACCACAAATACCTGGACCCATGTGACCTTGCAGAACTCAGGTCATTCAACAAAGCCTACATCCAGCGCAAATTACAACAACACAAGATCGACGACCACTGGACTCTTATGGCCACCGAAATCGCGGGGGAAGTGGCCCAGGGACGTATGGCCGGCCCCTTCGAGGCACCGACTCATTGGACCTCTCGCACAGTACCCCTGCACCTTTTCCCCCACACCAGCCGGCTCCTTCCTATCCCACATCGCGACCCCATTGTGGCAGTCGCATTCAGCATACAACAGACCGGATCGGACGGAAAACCCAAAGTCCGGAGAGGAGAAGACTGGCGCCGCAGCGGCCACAACCAGACGTGCTCTATGCACGATCAACCATACCATCACACACCCGACCACTACATCCAATGTGCGAGACAATATCACGACGACACACACCCGCTACATGTGTGGGGACACGACCACGACGGCGCCTACCGTCAACTGCCCCTCGCACAACCGGAGGTAGCATACGTGCTACTCATCACACCCGACGGCCCAACTCTCTGGCACCACCACGTGCTCCTGTTCGGCTCCGCTGCCAGCGTCTGGGGCTACAACCGCTTCGGCGATGCACTCACAGCACTCGCCCGCGTACTAACACTCACACCTGCCCTGCACTACGTTGACGACTACGGGGCCATACAACCCAGTCACATCGCGACCAGTTCCTTCTCCTCATTCAGCAAGCTCAACTCACTACTTGGATTTCATATGAAGACATCCAAGGAACAACCACCGGCGCCCTCTCACAAAATACAAGGGGTTTATGTCGACCTGTCGGCAACACACGCAACCCTTCGACCGTGCCCAGACCGAGTCCGTACACTGTCACACACCCTGTCTCAGTGTCTCGAACAGGGAGGTATGTCGAACGACACCGCCCGACGCACTGCCGGCAAGTGCAACTTTGTCACCGGACACCTGTTCGGTCGAGTAGGGCGATCGGCGTTAGCCGCCCTATACCACAAAGCACACAGCACTTCCGACCGGATCGACAAACCAACTCGAGCTGCCATTCTGTGCCTCCTGAATATCCTGCAACATAGCTCACCCCGCAGCGTCCCACTGTCCACCAGGCCCAGAGACCTCTCAATCATATACACCGACGCGTTCTGCCGGCAGGGCGAGACGGTCTGGCGTGTCAAGGACGCAGGGGATCAGGATTGTCTGCCACCCGATTGGTCGCACGACAACGGATGGGCAGCGGTGCTGTTCAGCCCACAGGCACAAAGGACCCGCGTGGTCTCGGGCGCACTACCCCCTAACTTACTCCAACAAGTGAGTACTGGCACCAACGCCATTTATTTCCTCGAGGCATGGGCCGCGTTGATCGCTCCTGTGATCTTTCGACCATGGATCACTGACACATACCTCCAGTTGTGCGACAACGAGGCGGCCAAACACGCCATCAGACGGGGAGTTGGGAAACACCAACCACTAAACTGCCTGCTCGGTGCACATTGGACATGGCACAACCGACAGCAATTGCAGTTGCATATTGCCCGTGTGCCCACACATGCTAATATAGCCGACCCCTTCAGTCGACATGACATGTCTCTCGCCTCGAAGCACCACTGGCAGATTCTGGAACCCCCCATGCACGCTCTACATAAACGAACGTGCAAAATCATTGGCGATATTGAGTTCGCCCATGCCGTCGGATTTGACGACATAAAGGAACTCCAACAGTTCCACAGGAATCATTCCTCCTGAACCCGACTTGACTTCCACGTCCCGTGAGAATCTTGTCCACAGTAAGGAGACTTGATCGATGTAAGGATGCCTTCAACGTGCCTTTTGTCTAGGTCGTTCGCCTTCGGCTTCACCTTCGACGGGAGTTGACCTACGACGGGAGAACGTCCACTCCCTCTTCGAAACTCTGCTGTACAACATTTTGGGTTTGCATGCACTTGCATTTGCTTACCTTTTATTTGTTGTACTTTACTTTCGAGTCAGTGGTGTCTGAGAGACACGCACACCGACTCCAGAGATTGAAACAGATCGACCAACAGGTACGATCCCACCCACTTGAGGCAGTGCGGTGAAAATAAATCGACCGACGCTGGTTGCCGTCGTACTCTCTGGAGCGGTTTGTTGTTGCGGTTAACACTTGTGTTAAAAGTAACAACCGATAGCGGAAGGCATTTGAATCACACTCAGATTCGAACCTTGAGTGCCTGCAGGATGACACTGCTTGATTCATGCTCCGTTCGCCATTTTGGCGAATTAGCCAAATTTTTCTTTCCCACCCACCCTCACCAGTTTTCACTGCATGCCCTCAGTACCTGTCGGTCTGCATTTATAGCATCGAGTGAGAGGACGGGAGAACGTCCACTCCCTCTTCGAAACTCTGCTGTACAACATTTTGGGTTTGCATGCACTTGCATTTGCTTACCTTTTATTTTGTTGTACTTTACTTTCGAGTCAGTGGTGTCTGAGAGACACGCACACCGACTCCAGAGATTGAAACAGATCGACCAACAGGTACGATCCCACCCACTTGAGGCAGTGCGGTGAAAATAAATCGACCGACGCTGGTTGCCGTCGTACTCTCTGGAGCGGTTTGTTGTTATTCAAGCAACTGAGCAAGTGCTCAAGATTCAAGATTCGAGGAAAGTCATCTGAGCATATATTGAATCGAGCGACTTCGCGCTTCGTGATCCGGGAGGGTTATGTTCATAGGGGCCCTTGATTTGTGGCATCTAAAGTGCCGTTATGCTGGGCAAATGACAGCGAAAGCGATCTCACGACCGGATGTGGTTTGTTTGCAAACTGACCGCTTTTGGGTCCCGGGCTACTTCTTACATGGTGATAGCCAACTTGCCATTTCATTTGCACTGCATGGATGCCATTTCCTCGTTTCCTTTCGAGAGCCAGAATGACATAATGAGGGCAGCTCAAGCATCTCAACGTGATGTGAGCAAACCATCTTGCCAATCAAATTCCCATGCCACTTCAGGGGCACAAGGAATATTGACCACAAGCCTGGTGCGATTCACAACGTTCCCATATTACTCGAGTATGGGTTTTGGGTTTTTTTTATCGATTTCCGGTGCTGATTTCAGAGCCAAGAACCGGTGGGTCGGGACGGTGGGGCTGAAGCGGAGTTCGGCCAGTGCCGCTTTTATTTCTCTTTTGCGGCTGCAGCATCACCGTTTGCTCAAATTGGAGGTACCGGTACGTTTTTGCCTTACACTGGAGGAAAATAAAGATCTCGCTGTGGGGCTACGAAGGGGTTTGCCTGGCCTACCCCTCCAATTGGAACAGCCCAGGGTTGACCCTTTCGAAGTGACAGACTAGTCATCGGCATAGCCCAGTTCGGCGTAATAGAAATTGTGGGCTCCCTAAAAGTGGACGTTTGGGCTCTCAAAAAGGGGTGTCGGAAAGCAAACTCAACCCTGCATCTCGAAAAGGGGCCGTGGGATGCCAATGTCCACCAGGTCAGGAGCATCCAGCAGCAAAGGAGCGTGGGGGCTGGGTCTTTGATTTAATGCGGGGTTCTCTGGCACCTGTGGGGAGGTACCTGGAAGATCAAGTGTCTTTTTTCAGGGACCCCCTGTCAGTTGCCATGTTGGGAGGGAGGGCAAACGTTTCTCGGCGCAGGTTTTGCCTTTGACTCCCATCGCAACCAGAGGAACCCGGTGGCTGAGAAATGTCTTTGGTGAAATCCCACTGGCGCCTTCTCTTCCGGGTGAAGGTCACTTGGTTCCCATAAGGCTTAGAATTTGAGTCTTGTTCTTGTCGATAGGCCGCTTTAGGGTTCGAATCCGCCTGAACGTTAAACTGTGAAAAGGGAATGGGAGCATTTGAAGAAGGGATTAGGACCCCTTCCCTCCCCTCCCCTTGCTTGGATGAGTATTTTCAGACTTGACCAGCTGGTGCCTTGCAGATTCACTGTGGACATACCCCAGAGTGGATTTTGCACATGGAACAACCGCCACTAAGTCGGAAGCCAAATTGGCCACATGTTTGGGAAACCGACCGAATCGGTAGTCTCCCCGCTGAAGATGCACCTCAAGGGTTCCAAACAGGGCTTCAATATAGGGCCACCAAAACAATTCGGCTCCAGAAGTGGTCGACACGTTTCTTTTTTTGCGGTCCGGTGCTCGAAGAATCCGGGGCCTGTGGAAAAAAAACAAAATCCGGGGCCTGTGAAAAAAGAAACACCGATCAAAGGAAAAAAACATGCTCCGCGCGTTCGCCGCGTGCTACCCCGAAGAGGGCCGGGCTGGAAAATCGGATCTCAGGAGATGACAAAATCCGGGCACCGCGGCGCGGATCTCGGGGCCATGGCAAGTGTTTGGTTCGGTTCATGTGAGCGGGCTGCCAAAAAAATAAAGAAACAAAAAACAGGTCTCTTATAGCATTGCACGGTTCAGTGGGCTGCACACCCCAAAAAAATGAAGAGAGGTCTCATTAGCATAGCACGGTCTGGGAGGTGCGGGAAACCCTCTGGGCAAGACCCGCCAAGCCTTGAGGCAGAGCCGCGACCGGGAAGTCTTTGAGAGCCTGGAGCAGGCGTTTTCCCCAGCGAGCGGGGTGTGCGGTCCTGGTGGCAGTCCTAAAAGGGCACCCTTGTTAGACGGTGTTAAACGGGAATCCACAAGCAAGCCAACTACCCAGAGGATGCCGAGACAGACCCAAAATGAGACTTCTTCAGTTGGTGGTTTGGATTGCAGGTTTGGGCGTTACTGGTTGTTGAGGGCAAATGCACCCCCCGAAGCTCCAGAATAGCGGTCCAAACCACCAATCAGAGGGCTGACAAAGGCTTAAAGGCAGGTGGCTCATGCATTGCCAAAGACAGCATACCTCTCAGTCATTTGGATTGGCTGCTGCGGCCTCGTCTTTCCCAAGTCCTCCCAAAGGGTACCCGAAAGGTATCCAAGCCACAAAACCAAGAGGTACTGCCATAAAGGACTTCAACCTAGGTTTTGTGTCGGATTCTCGAAAAACGGAGGAGCCCTTAGCCTGGTAAAGATGGTATTCAACCAGAAGGGTCCTTGTACGTCAGTCTGGTCGAAAAAGATATGGATGATGTGTTGGTTTGGATCCAATCGTTTTCCAGTGCCAGCCGTTTGTCGAAAATGGTATGTGCACCACACATTTGGAAGAATTCCCAGGTTTCGATTCAGATTCAGTCCAATTCTTGCGCTTTCAGTAGCACGCGTGGGTTCCCAAGTTTTAACCATCTATGTATGCGAGCGCTGGTCCTTCCAGTTTTAGCCAGCGGGCGGACCTCAAAACGCGGTGATGCTCCTCGTTCCCCTTAAACCTGCCCGGAAACTTGGGAGGTTCCCGTCCGGTTCCTTAGCGGTGGTGAGTTGTTGTGGTGGGGTTTTTCAGTTAACCCGCAAGTTAACCTTATAGCAGGCGAGCAGAAAACGGACACCTCCCAGAAAAAGGGTACCAACTCACAAAAACACACCCACCATGTTCTGAAATGCTAACCGCCCCCCCCGCTCCTTGCCCCCCACCGGGAGTCTTCCTAGCGCAGGGGGAAAAAGGTTGGGCACCGAATCGCGAAAGGAGATGGAGCACCTCGCGGACATGCGCCGCTATGCATCCCAAGTGCCCCTTGGCCCCGGCAGATGTGATTTTCTTTGCATATGGGATCACCAACCGGCTTTCTCCCCAACCCCGTGGACTTTGGACACTTTCGGGGAGACCAGTTTAGTGGCAAATGCCAAGCTCGGATTTTTGTTTTGGCCAATCCACTCAGCAAGTGAGAAAGGTTCTTGTATGGGAACCCCATTGCAAGCAAGGTCCAGTCGCATTGTTGTGCAAAAAGCATGCTACGCGGGATGTGTGTTTGACAGTTTTCTTGGAACATATTCAGGTTGACCATTTGTTTTGACAGGGAACACTTGCGTACAGCTTGTATAGCAAAGGAGTCACAGAAAGAACCCAAATCAAGGGGGTCCTTTGCCAACCTCGACTTGCCCCCTATGAGCTGGAATGTTTGGGTAGTTTGCAGGTTGAGTGATTCAAAAGCGAGTTGTTGTTTTTGTACTGGCGCACCTGGTAAACATGTGTGGCACCTTAAGCAAATGAACGGAATTGCCCACGGGATTTCACAGTATGGGTAAGTCTGAAGCCTAGGTACCTTCTACAAGAGGGGTATAGGTCACCTCCATGTTGAAATGTTTCGCAATATGGGAATACAACCTTCACACCTCCACACGCCCTTGTTCCCTGAGAAGCAAGGCCCTTTATTGGCTGCCAAGTTCTTGCGAATGTGTTTAACTCTGGCCGTACATTCCTTGCCAGAGTTGCATGTCTCCAGGCTGTGGGTCAAAACCCCGTACCCACAGTAAATGGGTGGTGCACCTGCCCCAAAATGGTACCATTGGTTTTGAACCATGGCCTCCACTTTAATTGGTGTTTTTCTTCTGTGGCGCCTTGGCCAACACTTCAATCGGATCCGGGATTTCAAACGGGCGAGGTTCACGCTCGCAGGTCAAAAAGGGCAGCCATACTTTCTGGCGCATTTTGCCAAGGGATGTTAGGACTTGAGCTTGCCACCTAGTGGGTTTTCCGTATCAAACCACTAAAGTGAAACTTTTAGCAGAGCAGAAAGCAACCAAGCATAGCTGGCATGGGTGCAGCTTTCTGACGAGCTTAGGCTCGGCGTTCGCGAAGGCAGCCACGGCCCCCAGCGTCGGATGGTCAGGTGGAAGCCCCCTGTAGGCGAAGATGGTTTTGTGCCATATGGTTGTGCTTGTGAGTTTGTCTGAACTGGTTTGCTTTTCAACAGGGCTTCGTTTTTTTTTGGGGGTTGGCTTCCCTTTAAGCAAAGGTGACAAACAAGATGGCACCCTCCCTCCCCCAACCAAAATAAACAAAACAGCAAAGCAAAAACAATATACCCATGTTGGGTAAGAAGGATATGCCAAGAAACACACGCCACCGCCATAATGCAACCCTGCCTTCCACCCTTGTAAGAGGCTTCCGGTGTAACTCGTGAGGCGTGCCCAAAGAAACGGACCCCAGAAGGACGCCGGCTGGCCCAAGGGCGGGGCAAAACCGTAAGGGTCATGGCCCCTACGCAGACCACCGAACATTTGGATGGAGAGCCCCGTGCCAATTCCTCAAGGGCCCTCAACAACCCATTCGGAGGGCCCAAAATCAGTCGGGAGCATTGCGGCAATTGGTTTACCGAACATTTGGATGGAGAGCCCCGTGCCAATTCCTCAAGGGCCCTCAACAACCCATTCGGAGGGCCCAAAAACAGTCGGGAGCATTGCGGCAATTGGTTTACCGAACATTTGGATGGAGAGCCCCGTGCCAATTCCTCAAGGGCCCTCAACAACCCATTCGGAGGGCCCAAAAACAGTCGGGAGCATTGCGGCAATTGGTTTACCGAACATTTGGATGGAGAGCCCCGTGCCAATTCCTCAAGGGCCCTCAACAACCCATTCGGAGGGCCCAAAAACAGTCGGGAGCATTGCGGCAATTGGTTTACCGAACATTTGGATGGAGAGCCCCGTGCCAATTCCTCAAGGGCCCTCAACAACCCATTCGGAGGGCCCAAAAACAGTCGGGAGCATTGCGGCAATTGGTTTACCGAACATTTGGATGGAGAGCCCCGTGCCAATTCCTCAAGGGCCCTCCGCAACCCATTCGGAGGGCCCAAAATCAGTCGGGAGCATTGCGGCAATTGGTTTACCGAACATTTGGATGGAGAGCCCCGTGCAATTCCTCAAGGGCCCTCAACAACCCATTCGGAGGGCCCAAAAACAGTCGTGGGGAGCTGGCCGAACATTTGGATGGAGAGCCCGTGCCACTCAAGGGCCCTCCGCAACCCATTCGGAGGGCCCAAAATCAGTCGTGGGAGGCGCAATTGGTTTACCAACATTTGGATGGAGAGCCCTGCAAAGGGCCCTCAACAACCCATTCGGAGGGCCCAAAAACAGTCGGGAGCATTGCGGCAATTGGTTTACCGAACATTTGGATGGAGAGCCCCGTGCCAATTCCTCAAGGGCCCTCCGCAACCCATTCGGAGGGCCCAAAATCAGTCGGGAGCATTGCGGCAATTGGTTTACCAAACATTTGGATGGAGAGCCCCGTGCCAATTCCTCAAGGGCCCTCAACAACCCATTCGGAGGGCCCAAAAACAGTCGGGAGCATTGCGGCAATTGGTTTCCCGAACATTTGGATGGAGAGCCCCGTGCCAATTCCTCAAGGGCCCTCAACAACCCATTCGGAGGGCCCAAAAACAGTCGGGAGCATTGCGGCAATTGGTTTACCGAACATTTGGATGGAGAGCCCCGTGCCAATTCCTCAAGGGCCCTCAACAACCCATTCGGAGGCCCCAAAAACAGTCGGGAGCATTGCGGCAATTGGTTTACCGAACATTTGGATGGAGAGCCCCGTGCCAATTCCTCAAGGGCCCTCAACAACCCATTCGGAGGGCCCAAAACAGTCAGTCGGGAGCGCGGCCCAATTTGGTTGGTTTACCGAACATTTGAATGGAGAGCCCCGTGCCAATTCCTCAAGGGCCCTCAACAACCCATTCGGAGGGCCCAAAAACAGTCGGGAGCATTGCGGCAATTGGTTTACCGAACATTTGAATGGAGAGCCCCGACCAATTCCTCAAGGGCCCTCCGCAACCCATTCGGAGGGCCCAAAAACAGTCGGGAGCATTGCGGCAATTGGTTTACCGAACATTTGAATGGAGAGCCCCGTGCCAATTCTCAAGGGCCCTCAACAACCCATTCGGAGGGCCCAAAAAGTGGAGCATCAATTGGGAGGAGAGCCCCGACCAATTCAAGGGCCCTCCGCAACCCATTCGGAGGGCCCAAAAACAGTCGGGAGCATTGCGGCAATTGGTTTACCGAACATTTGAATGGAGAGCCCCGACCAATTCCTCAAGGGCCCTCCGCAACCCATTCGGAGGGCCCAAAAACAGTCGGGAGCATTGCGGCAATTGGTTTACCGAACATTTGAATGGAGAGCCCCGACCAATTCCTCAAGGGCCCTCCGCAACCCATTCGGAGGGCCCAAAAACAGTCGGGAGCATTGCGGCAATTGGTTTACCGAACATTTGAATGGAGAGCCCCGACCAATTCCTCAAGGGCCCTCCGCAACCCATTCGGAGGGCCCAAAAACAGTCGGGAGCATTGCGGCAATTTGTTTATCTTCCAGAAAGGGGGAAGCTCGCTGAAGAGTTTGGGTGGCAAACCTGACCTCAGGCGCCAGGCCTGTGCAGAATGAGGAGGACCGGAGTGTTGAAGGGACTATGGGTGTTTCTCAAAATTGGGGAGCAGTTGTTTCCTGTTGGTTTCCTTTACAAACCGCACGGCACGTCTGATGGGCAGCCTGCAAAGCGCTTTTCGCTCGCAGCTGTTGCGTTTAGCCCAGGGAGATTCTGCCCAATGTTCAACCTCCAAAAGTTGACTGACCCATTGAAAGGGGGTCCAAAGGTGTGGAGGTTGGAAGGCTATTTTGGCTTCATGAGCAAGTTGGGAGTAAGTACTGGCCGGCCGCTCTGCAGGGAAAGCTTTTTCATTTTCGATGCCGCGGCGGCAAAAAGTCAGTGGGCCTTCGACAATCATTGGTGTTCCCCCCCCCCCGATCTTACAATCTCGAACGAGTACGCCAATCTGGGCTAAACCTAGGCGACCTAGGTGTCAAAGAGATGCTTGCACTGGGCGACTTAGGGGTGAACAGTCAGGGTCACAGCTTTTGACCTGTACCCCTGGTGCACCCCTCATGCTGGTAATCATCCAGATATTTGTTTGTGTCCCATTCATTCGGCTACCGCCCAAGGACTTTCGCGTTGAACATTATATTCAAGGCCTTAAGGAGTCGCACGGACCAAAGCAAATCGTGGCACAGATGGGATGCATAAACTCTGAGCAGGACCGGCGCAGAAGTGCCCCAGCACCATCTCCCACGCTGCTGGGCAATTCAGGGCTGGGCTTTGCGTTCCATTCTTTGAGTTCTGAGCTTTCTATGCCCTGAGCCAGAACTTTCCGAAAAGTGCTCAGAACCTGGTCCAGCATGTTTGGAAGGGGGGGCTGGTTGAAAGTGTGTCCAGTTGCGGATCATTGGAGGTTGGAAATCTAAGTCCTGGCCCTGGAAAAGTCAAGTAGAGCCAGGCCCACCCCCCTCCCCTCGCCCCCTGATGGGGCAAGAAAAGTTTCCCACCCTCCCCCTGAAGGTGCGGGGGTGTCACCCAAACACCTGAGGATCCTGAGGACCTTTCGTGGGCATCACCTATTATTTTTAGGTGCGGATTTTTCTCCCCACCATTTGGGACAGACCAAGGGCTCGCCTCTTCGCCTCTTAGGTTTGGCGCTCGCGCGACTTCAGCCACTCCGGTCACGAATGCGCCGGGCTCCGCGAGAAGCTCTGAGCGCTGGAAGCCGCTCGGCAGGAAGCTCTCAGTGGCCTTCACGGAGCGGCTGACCTTTCAAAGGGCTGGGGTACCGGACATTTCCCGGAAAAAAAAACAGCTGACTTAGGGGGTTTGTTTGGTGGATCTTCCAGTAATAAATAATAAACCCCGGTTTATCTCCCACCAATGAACATAGAACCTGACGTTCCGGGGGTCCTGGGCATTTAGGCACCTCTGATAGTACCAGTCATGGTTGTTGTTGGGAAACATTTTACATTTTTGCTTGTTGCGGTTTAGTGGGAAATCCCCACTTAACTGCAAAAATTTATAATTTTGCTCCCCTTCCAACGTCAACCAAGCAGTTTTAAGTCTGTACTCCTTTTATATCGTTAGGGGTGTGTTTTGGGGGGTCAAAAGTCGGAACGCCGTGAGTCAGATAAGGTCCAGAAAATTTAAACAGATACCCCACCTCTTGATTCTACAAAAGGCTGGAGCAGACTCTACGAATCTCACATTATTTGGGTTGCACAAGCTGGGGCCGAGGTAGAAATGTGGAGAGGGAAGCCCCAGGATCCCGTCCTTGGTAGTTTCTGAAAGTCCCTCCTGCAGCATGACATGGGGCCCAAGGTTCGCAGCGGGAAGGAAAGCAACGCACATCTTTGGCCGCGTATTTGTTTCTGGGAAAAGGCCCGCTGTTTGCGGTGCTCTATCGTCTTGCGGGGGGGGGGGGGTGTTCATGAAGTTTTTCAAACCCCTCAAAGCGCACCAAACAAAGGGACCAGGAACGGACAAGCTGAGAGACCCAGTTCCCCCAATGTGACTGTTGTCATGTTCCGCGGGGGGATATAACCCTACTGGCTCCAGGTTGTATACACCAACCTCCCTCAACATATTGAATGAAAGTGTGGGCTATCAGATAGTGGGAGGCTCGCAAGATGGGAAGATGGGGGTGTGAGAGGAGGGCGATCACGCAGGAAGCAACAAGAATCACCCCCCCCCCCCCCCGCATCCGCCCGCAGGCGCCGGCCCTCGACCCGGGAGGAGCCGCCGTGCCCATGGGAGGAGCCAAACAGCGAGGAGCGAAGCGCTGCGCTTGGCATAGCCCGAGGCATAGCCTGGGGACAGGGACAGTCCCAACCACAAACGGCTATGATTTTTTTCGGGGCTTGCTTAAGCAAGGGCTTGGCCGATTGCTAATGTGAACTCGGTCTCAAATAAAAAGCAACCCAAAGAGGAGTGATCAGTAAAGATGTCAGACAGGACTTTAAGTGGCCATGGCGCTAAAGTGCTGTTTGGTTGGGTTCTATTCAATTTTCAGTGCTGCAAAGAGCAAAGTTTTGCTGACGCCACTTGAGAAGAGTCGGGGACCTTGAAAACGCCCTCCGAAACGGGTTCCTACCTTGATTGGCAAAGAAATTCATGTTGGCTTGTGGGATTTCAGCCCGGCTGGGGAAATTGCAGGAAATCGCTTTTTCACTGCAAACCCATCATGTTGCGTTTGTGCCTTGGGTCTGTGGGTCCTGTGAGAGAAGTGTCCAAACATGGGAGCCCTAAATGTGGGATCTGCGGGGGAGGTTTCCTGGCCTTTTGGGCAATGCCCAAAATCAATCCGCAAGTGTCGCCGGACTATCTAGATGCCAGTGGTGTCTCTTCTGTGGCGTCCCACGGGTTACAGACCAGCATCAGGATCCTGTTTTGAACACCGCGAAGTTGTGTGTTATTCTTGACGTGCACTGTGGGATCTTACTTGCCTGCATGGGACATGTATGGCATTGTGCTGTTGTTTTGGGACAGCCACTGGGGCCTGTAAAACGACGAAGAAAAGAAGACGGCAACACTTGTTGCTTGTCTTGTCATGGAAGGGAACAAACTTGCCAACATGCCCCTTTTATTCAACAAGCGAAAGGGGCGTAGACAATCTCGCCGCGTACGACGATTTGCAGTCTTTCAGAACAAGGGACAAACCAAACCGAATGAATCAAAGGCACACGCCGAGCTTGGAGCCACCTAGCAGCTCCGAGCAAAGCGTTTGCCTGAGATTTTGCAGGGACACGGGGGACCGGGACAAAGCATATTTACTTCCACGTCCGTTGCTTGGATGTTCGGCCATGTTCGCCCAAGTTAGCAAGTGGTTAGCCACTTTGGTTGTAACTCTCGAATAACAGGGTTAACCTCGCTTCTGGGGACTTGTAAGTGGGTCTTTGTTACCGACAACTTACGAACTTGGCGAATCGAACACCCAAGTAGACTACCCTTCCAGCATCAAACTATCCATGCACTCTCTGTGGTTCAAAGCGAATCGACCTTTGGCCTTTTGGTTTTCCCTTTTTGGGCTCGCATTTGTAGTCATGGCAACCCCAAAAGGTGATCACCGTTTAGTTCTGGGTCCTTTCCTTTGAGCACCTGAGTTTCCGCGTCGAAGTTTCCTTGGTGGTGGTGGTGGTGGTGGTAGTGGTGGTGGTGGTGGTCCTTTGGGCAAGGGAGCACTTCCATGGAGGTTTGCCATTGTCAACCAGCCGGTTACTTGGCAGGAGCATCACACCAAGGCCCAAGAGGCCGGGCCAATGGCGGCTCAAGGAGCTGGGCCAAACATGGAACCTGACCTTTGGAGGACCATTTCCTTTTCAGGGACCGGGCCCCAAACGTGAGGTTCCATGGTTTTGTGGTGGGAGGCTACCTTTTTGAGAGTCTTGAATTGGGTAGGGGGTCAAAACTAATCGCGGTCACATGTTTCCTTCCTTTGGGCAACATAAAATTGCAATTACGCCTTGAGCAATTGGGCTTTTCATGCATATGCATTCTAGCTCTATTAAATGACACCAGGTAGGAATCGAATCAACAAACACATCGCCGTGGGTACCACTTTGAGGCCCGCTTTTGGACACCCTCAGTTTTCAATGCAAGTGAGCCACAATCAAAACACGGGTAAGTGAAGGTTAGTAAGGGACGATCCCAGCCAGAAATAGCTGCGGCCGTCTTCTTACTTCTTTACATGGCTCTGGGTCGACCATTTGTGTACCGGGTTTTGATTGTGACTCAAGTCGGCATCCCATGTTGGAAAGGGGTGATTCGCTCTTCCCATGATTTTTCTAGGTTCCATTGGGTTGGGCCCACCCAAGTGAGCCCGCTGGCTTACCAAAGGCGTTGCCTGTTTTTTCTCGCGATCGATGATTTTGTCGGCCGCTTTTTCTGGGAGGTTTTGCTCGGCCTCCTCTGAGACACGCAGAAACCATGGGTTTTTAATGGGCAGGTGGAACTCACAGCTCAGGTGTTCACAGCACTCCCAGATTCCGGGCGTCATGTTTCTTCTTCTGAAAACGGCCCCGCAACCATGACTCGGTCCAACTGAAGGCTTGTTTTTCACCGGCGGCCGAGGCATGGCACCAGGTGGACAGTGAAGGCCGCCTGATCTTCTGAAGGAGTCACCCGCAGAGCCGCCATCTGCTGAAAGCACTGGTGGCCCTGCGTGTGGGTCTCACAAGTCCATAGGTCCATAGGTCCATAGCCCTGCAAAAATGCTGGCATCCGGCTGTTCCCATTGGTTCAACCCGCGAATAGTGGTGCCCCAAAAAAGGGAGTCGTCAATTTGAATCCAGCTCTTTTTCGAGCTTTCGAGTTGCTGGGCCGGCTTTTATGGACCTCAGCGGATGCCTTCGGGAAAAAATATTCGCGAGAGGGAGGGGGAGAAGATGCGGGCTGAGCCACAAGCGAGATCTGGGTGGCCAGAACTGGGGAGAGTTTTTCGATCAGACCGCGGCCATCCGCAGAACAGAAGCTTAGTTCCGGAGATGTTTGCCCTGCAGCTTCGATTGATTGTTTTAGGGTATGTGGACCCTCAAACTACCCATATAAAAAGAGAAATCATAAGTTTGCCATGTTTTAAAGGGAAATTTCAGGGTCCAAATAGACTTCTGCGATGCCAGTTTCTGATTTGGACCGACCTGGTGCCTCGCTCCAGTCAGTAGAATCGAAGGCAGGCGGTCACGCTGCGCTACAGGCCCGTGCTGAGATCACAGCTGCTTCAGCGGATGGACAAGTTCCAGCTGCAGAACGTCCAAAGCTCAGTTGACCTTTTGATGGGTTTTGCTTGGGTTTTTTTGGCCTTGGACGAGGGGACCCATCATTACTCCTGTCCACAGCTCTCTCTGTCAAGATTAGGCACTCTGTTCACCGACAACATCTCTGCGGCATCCGGGCCTGGGAGCAATCACCACCTCCTGCCAGTCCACCCTTGCTTGTTTATTCAGGCCTCCCAATGCGACCCCATCTGAGACAACGTTCCTCTTGAAGTCCCTATGCAAGGTCAAAGGTTCTTCGGTTTCCCTACATTCCAGTGACTGGCTGGGCCACACTCTGAGGCGGGAGAAAACCGGGAGGCTTCGCACTTCCAAACCAACAGGGAGCGAGAGGGGGCTTGTGTCATTTTGTGTCCATGCTAGTTTTTGCACTTCCATGGTAGCCATTTAGCAAACTCCCACGCAGTTCAGCCAATCATTAGTCAGTCTATGGCAGCCCCCTTTAAACGCGGGTCTCCTCCAATATTATTACATACATTGTTGACCAAATATGAAACAGGCTCTGAACATATGTTTGCGGGATGGAAGTTGTCAAATCCAGCGTCGCCACAAACCACCGTATAAGCCACCAAATTCAAACGCCGCTCTCCTATGAACCAATGATCCCCAATAGCACCTATTCAGCTTCCGGACGTGTAATTTGATTTCGCTTGATGGTTACATCACCTTGTAGCCTCGTAGGTGGGTCCTTTGTGGTAGGGTTGTGTTTTAAGCGGTGTTCGTAAAAAACCACCCACCCAACCTTACCGCCAATCCAAACCTGCTTGAAATGGGGCTGCCTTTTTAAATGGTATTCTTTTTGGGGTTGGTTTTCACCTTGGTTACAGATGGACACCAGCAATCAGAGGGAACTGAGCAATTCGTGACCCCCAGTTGGTTGCCACTATTTTCCGCTGGGTTTGTCTCGAGATACTGTGGATTGACGGAATCCGTTCGCACCACTTTGAAACCGTGGTGGAAACCATTGTTTGTTGGTATGTACGTTGGGGAATCGAATCATTCCGTTGAGTTTTTGAATCGTGCGAAATGGATTTCGTCCATCCGCAGTAGGTCTGTCTTCACGGCATTTCACGGCTGTCGGCAAGTTTTTGTGTCTTGGCGGTTCTGTTCGTTTGTATCAGGGAGCTGCAAACGGCAACGTTTATTGTTACCATACCAATAAGGGTTGTAAGTTGTAAAGTTGTCTCGGGATACTGTGGATGGACGAAATCCTGCACCACACCTTGAAGTTGAAGATGTCCCCTGTGAATGCCAACAAACAATGGTTCCGATGGTTTCAAAGTGGTGCTAACTGCAAAATGGGTTTCGCAAGCATCCACAGTATGTGTCTTGCTTGTGCGTTGGTTTTCTTCACTGCTTGTCGTTGCTTGGGGGGCAACAATTCAGGTTTCCCCTAGTTTGAGGTTTGAACTGGATTGAAAATGGATTTGAACCCTGGCTCTTGTAGATGGCAAATCCCTCCACCAAATCACCAATCCAAACCACTTCTAGGTGCCCCAGTAGTGTCCTTTTACCCTTTTTTGGGGGGAGGGGTCCCTTTTTAAGATAGACCACAGAAGAAAATCAAATCGGGTGCCTTTTATTCCAACCTCTCAAATCTGGAGGACCTAGTTGTTCAAACCCCTTTGTTCGCGCACCAAGGGACTTTTGGAACACTCAAGCTGAGGTCCATGGACCTCCCCACTTGTCGCTAAAACATGTTTGTGTTGCTCCCCTTACGTCAACCAAGCATTGGACGGAAGCTGAGTGGGCCATCAGTGGGCCATGAGGTCATGAACTCCACCTGGGCCTTCGCCAAGCTCAGCTGCGCGGACGCGGAGCTCATGGTGCGCTCTCGGATTGTCGGAAGGGTGTTTTTCGAACGCCGTGGTTGCTGAGAGCCGAGCGATGGGAATGGTGGGCTGGGAGCTGATGACGCTGAGCCTCAAAAAACCGGAGTTCCAAAATGGGTTGCCCTGGGTAAGTGGAAACTGGGCCAAAACCTGCCGTTTGCCCCTCCTGTTAAATTTTGAGCCACACCGAGTTCACACATATCGACACATTGGTATAGACAGTTTTATCTATATACACATACTTATACATACATACATGTGTCATACATGTGTACATGTCTTGACAGATCGGCGGCCTTTGTCCAAAGCTGACCTTTTGGGGTTCCCGAAAGCTGCAGGTCCCTTGGGCACTGTTTCACCAGACGAGAGAAATCCCTCTGCGATACCAGGGGGCAGTTTCCCCACTGAATTAAGCGTTGGGTGTTCGAATTGTCTACAAAGACGTGGGTGCAATGCTCATTGCTTGGACTGCCTTCTTTGGTTTAGCCTGCTTCCAGAAAGAAAGGCGCCTTAGGCCTACCTTGACTTGTTACCTCGTCGGTTGAAGTGGAGGGGCGGGGAATGGTCAAAAAGCAAACTCTCCATCGAAAGCAACACCGTCGTTTCCGCAGCGCCGACGCTTAGAAGGATTCGTCCCGCCTGCTTGTCTGCTTCAGAAAATGTCGAGTATGACACAAGTGCTCACCGTAGGTTTCTCAGGTTTTTCGATCGTTGCCCCTTGCCTCTCCAAATGTAAATCCCATCAGATTCTTGGATCATTCTGATATAGTTGGGATCCAGGCTGGCGCCGTTGAGCAGGACCTGCACCAGATGTCTCATGTTTAAGGCTCTTGGGGCAAATCCGGGTTCGACCCGCACGCCAGGCTGTTTGGCTTATCCAGAGGGAATCCGGTGACCGGGATTCCGGCCCGGTTCCATTCCTTCGATTTCCTTCGATTCGCGCGCGGCCGCGCTCACGCGGGGCGGGGGGAGCTTTCGAGCGAATCATGTCGGCCATCTTCGAAAACCTGCGGATGCTGATTACGGTGGCGGCTTGGCCTGGCAGTTTCCGTCGAAAATGGGGTGGTTCGGCTTTTGGCGCCAGCTTGGTGTCAAAATCGCCATGGCCGAAATCCTCCTATTTTGACACAGCTAAATGGCTCTTGCCATCCGAACTTGAAAAATGGAGCAAACACAAACGCAGCCAAGCACCAGGTGCCCTCTCTTGTCCTTTAAACATCATCCCACCAAAAGGAAATCCGAAAAGGCGCATGTTTAAAACAAGGCTGAAACAAGGTGTAATCCGCAAGATGCTGATGCCAGATGGTCCAATGGTGGTTTTCCTTGTAGCGTCTAGCTATAGCGAATTAAGTTCAGGAATCCCTTCATTAGGAAAAAGTGAGATTTGCTCCCTTAAATGGGCTGAGATGAGCAAACGGGTGACCACCTGGAGTGATCCCTAATTGTTGAGAATAATCTTCTTGGTTCTTAGGACTGGCGGTTGGTAGGGGTGTCTTCCCATACGGCCGCCGCAAGAACCGAGGGGTCCCAAATCCCACCATGCGCTCTGCGCCAGTTCAAGCAGCAGCAGCAGCTGGAAATCAATGATTGCCAGCATGGCTCTCGTGTCATGTTGTGACTTCCTTGCACTCCATAGCTCGAACATGTTCAGGCAGGATGCGATGCCAATGCGGAACACACCTCCCGTTGGATAGTTTACCATCGGGCGTAGCGCCGTTGAGAGCAAACTTGTGAAGGTCGCAACCAAACCAACTAATCAACTGTTGCAAATTCCGCCCTGCGACGTGGAGGTTCTCGATGAACCATCAAACCTTTGCGCATGGTAAGAGCGGAGCCTGCCAAGTAAGGGCAGGCTGGAGGGATTGATGTTTCCCTTTCTGTGGAATAAGCACAATATGGAAGTTCCTGTGGGAAGGTTTTTCGGCTTCCAATTCCTGGGTTTTGGCCCTGGATTTCTGGTTTAGATTGGTGGCTTGGCGATTGCAGCAGTTGCTGGTGTGAAGGTGAAACGGAAAGCTACCACCGAACCTAACATCTTCTCACACCCAGCCTCCCAATCCAATTCAAATTCAGTCCCGCCTACAGCAATCATTGGATCCCACCTTTCGAGGTGGATGAGCTGCGGGACGTAGGGCTGCAGCACTACATCAGCCTGCCGCGGATTGCGGCCATTGGCACGCAGAGCAGTGGCCACTGGGATGACCGGGGGGGGGGGGGCTGGGCTGGGAGTCGCTGGGTGCCTTGACTGGATCAATAGGAATCGAAGCGGGTCCCACTTGGGCAGCTGAAGCCAGCCGTTTCCCTTGGCAGGTCTTGATCTTGTGTTTGTGCATCTTCGTGCCCAGGCGCCCAGTCGATTGCAGGCCGCTGCTTTCTTGAGGGGCGACCTTGAAAGCCGGAGCTGCGGGCATATCCAGAGGCTACATAACCGTTAACCACTTGAAATCTTTTGAATGCCGACTTGCAGGCAATTGGAGGTGGAGTCTTCAACGGAGAACCGGCGGCTTCCCAGTTGAACATCCCACTCCTTTTCGGCGTGCGGATTCCCCGCCGCAAAAAAAGTAAATAAATAAAAAAACACCCATCAGCAAGGCCAGGACAAAAGGAGTTTGCTTCCGTGGCGTGCTGTTCAAAAGCGTGATGTAACCTTTAAAGTGTCACCTCCGTGGGAGAGGAATGGGCAGAGTGCTAGCGGTTCTGCCCGGCTGGTCCCTAACTTGTGGATCCCTCCGGAAGAAACAGCAGAACACATGCATGGGTGTGAACTTCAAAACCATGAAGCCAACCGTGAGTAGGTTGGAAGTTTCTTGATGTGTTCACTTATTTTTGCCTGCCAAGTCTTGTCCTTCGTGTTTCTTGGGTTGTGTTCAACCTCCCTTACCAAAGCAAATAAAAAAAATGTGTTGCCGTTTGTTTGAGCAACATGTTTGTTGGCATTAGATTGGCTTTAGGGATAAGCTGGGGGCCAGCAAAATGATTGGTCTTCCTAAAGCAAACCTCCACTTCTTGCTTGCTTGGGGCAAACAAGTTGTTCACTTTTTCAACCGGAGTCAACAAACAAGTAAGTTGTGCATGAGGCACCCAGAAACAGGTGCTTGCTTTGGTGAGGCATCTACAAGTAGGTTATTCCTTGCTTCAGGAAGTGGGCTTTAGGGGTCATGCCCTCATTTGCTAAGCTGAGAGTCGCAAGATTCTTGGTGATGCAGCAGGCAGATTGGCTTTCCTTAAAAAAAAGCACATCCAGCCCACAGCAGGTTAGGCAATCTTGGAGCAGGCTGTTTGCCATTTGGGAAGGCTTGCCATTTCTTTGGGATTGGCTTACACCATCCCTCCCGGAGATTTCGGTTCTTCTTGCAAGAGCTTCTCGTGAGGCAAGAGCTCGCTCATCGAGTCCATCGTGGGTTTGGACTTCCTGCCCCGCGGCGGCGGCGTGGTGACCCGCCGGCCGCTGGAGCTGCGCTTGGTGCATCTCAACACCCAGGCGCCCGCGAGCGGATGAGCGGAGTCCGGGCGAGCGAGCGGGCGCAAGGTTTTTCGAGGGGAGCGGGGCCCCCGGCGCCGGGATTATTGTTTTTTTCTCGGGGCGGAGTCCCTCTCCGTTTTTTGGTTTTAAGGGGGCGGACTTCTCCAAAAGAAAGGCAATTGAAACTGGCAACCCAAAGGTGATGTTGCAAACCACCAAAAGGAGGGAAGTAGAGATACTGGAGCCCTGCCCGTTTTTCCTTTAAAGAGGGCTTCATTCTCTCTCCAGCCCTGGGTGGGTGTGACACAGCACTTTTTCGGCCGATTGGATTTGATTTTTAGTTGGGTCATTGGTGGGGTGATGTTTAAAGATTTGGCCGCTCTTCAGCGGTTTGTTTCAGGGTGGCCTATTTGTTTGGCATGGGGTTGCTCTCACCCCAAGCTGAAGCTTAATCATGATCAGAACGGAGAGTATTTTAATTATGCATCCCCTTGTATTAACCCCCATGCAGGTGCCCCGTCACGCAAGTGTAAAAAGCAAACCGGGGACAGCACCTGAGACAGGTACCGACAAAAAAGTCCTTGATCGGAGAACCACAGGGAGGTTGATTAAATGGCTGTGGGTCAAAACCAATGGGATACCATTTTGGTGGGTAGGTGAATTCACCACCCATTTTAGAACCTGTTTTAGCGGGGATTGGGATGTTCACTGCGGGCTTTTGACCCATGGCCAAATAGGAGTGTGCGCAGTGGTTTCCTGCTTCTGCTTGGCAATGTCAAGTTTCGACTGGGCTGAAGCCGAAAGAATGCCCCGGCAATACATGCAGGAACTGCTGGCATACTCACCTGCCCACTGTGATAAGCCAGGGACTTTTTGAGCACCATATATTGGCATGTGTTTTTGTTCGTTTTGGGCCTGATAAAATATTGTCTTTGACTATGCCTTTGCTTTGAGGCCCCACTTCTGTTTGACAATATGTCCAACAACGCGCTGGAATGAAGCCAAGGGATGTGCCCATTTTTGTACGTTCGTGACCGGTTTCCCGCACCAGGATCCAGCCAGGAGCCCCGAGCGAACCGAGCTAGTGACACGAAAATTATCGAGGGTGTGTTTGCGTAAGCAACCCTGGAAACATGGACGATCTGGGGGTGGCGCCACAACCTCCTTGCACTTCAGAGAAGAGTGGGATAGCCCATGGAATCGCCTGGCGGAGGATAGTAGTTTGTGAGCCCTCCTCATATTTACCAGACCAGTTGGAGGGGCTTCAAATGTCTATTTCCCGACTCACCTTCAGCCCTTTAAGGCTTAGGTTTCGCATTGCCCTGGCCAGGAGTATGCAGAGAACGAAGCTTGGGCCGTTTTCGACAAGGCCGAGACCGCACCTCCAGAGAGCTCGTGGGCCTTGTAGTTTTTTTGGGAAGACACTTTTGGTGGCAACCAAAAACTGTCGTTTTTTTCTGAGCCAATCCCCTCACGAAGGGAGCAGCAGATTTGGGGTCAGGGGCCATCCTGCGACTTGGGCGCTGTACAGGCAAGGCCTTTCTCTTGTTCACTTCCCTGTCTAGGTCCCCCAGTAGTGCCCTTTTACGAACTGGGAGGGTTCCCCTACTAAAATGGACTACCGAAAAAGGGTACCCTTATTCTAACCTCTCTACTGGAGGACCTAGCTGTTTGTGAATGTGCCATCTATGGAGGGCTGCGACTCACGTTATGAAGGGCTGCGACCCACGTTCTTCAACGTTCCTTCTCAAGGTGGGCATGTAGGGTCTTTGTTGCACAGCTTCTTTGGGGTATTCTGTGCCAGCTTGGACCCGAGGCGCGTCCGTGGCGCACATGTGGCAAAACGCTTTTCAGCGAGTAAAGGATTTTGCGCTTTCCGCCGGAGAACGCCTGTTTCCATCTGGCCGCTGGTATCCGATGGGACCTTGCCAAACCAAGCCCTGCGTGGATTGGCATTCGTTGGTTGAGAGTTGGTTGATGTGAATTTGTGGTGGGGAGCTGCTTGGATCCATCTGGTCAGGATTAGTCGGGAATTGGTTGGTCTCCATTTGTGGTTGTGAGCTGCTATCCATCTACCCCCTTAGGGAGTATCTGAAAGCCGAGCTGTTATCAATCTTTGCCTTAGGGACCAAACACTTCAGATTGATCCATCTGTGGTTGGGAGTTGCTTCGATCCATCTATCCCTTCCAGTTGCTTAAGATGTTTTGTTAAAAAAGCAAGCTGTTGGGTTTCAAGATAATCTAGCATTCCTGGACATATTTTTCCAGTGGACGAAGAACGCAAATGGAAGGTCCCCTTAAGGTTGGGAGTTGCTTGGATCCATCCATCCCCTACATCCCCTTACACACCCTTGTTGCTATCCCTCTATCCCCTTAGGGGCTAACACCCTTCTACTCTCCATGCCCTTCAGATCGGCGACAAGAAGTTCCACAGCTTCGAGGAGGTGAGACAAGAGATCGAGCGGCAGACGGACCAAGTGGCCGGGGCCAACAAGGGTCTCCCGGCGCTGAAAAGCCGCCGCCGCCGCCTTCGCCTCGCGTGTTAACACCCTATAGTGGACATTTTAGGTAGTTGCTGGGTGTAATTGGGGGTGTAGGAAAGCCTATATAAGTAGTAATATCCGTTTTAGCAGACGCCGCCTTCGCCTCCAAGGCTTCGTTTCGCATCTTTGGGACGATGAGTCGAATCTAAATCCCCCCCTCAAAACGAGCAATGACAAACAGGTTGCGCAAAAGGGAAGACCAAGATGGTGGCGTGTGTGTGTTCCTTTTTTCGAGAATAGAAACCCCGGTGGTTGAAGCACCCAAAAGGGAAACAAGGCACATAACCACAAGGCCACAGATCTTGGAGGTTTGCATGTAAACAAAGAAAAACAACCAGGTTAACTTAAGATGGTGGCATGTTTCTCAGGAACAATCATGTTGTCCCATGAACATGTATGATGAGTAGGTTTTGAGTGGGCTTCCGCCTAAATTCGGGCCCAAAACGGCAAGTACTTTTACTTTGAATAAACCAATCTGTTTTCCCTTTACACGCACCCTGCCCTGCTGGCAGCACAATTCAGTTACTAGCAGACGCTTTAACTAGGCTTTTGAAGAGTGGCCGCATGTTAAAAAGCCTAATTATGCAGTGCTTGTGTTAGGTCCTTCAGCCCCGGGTGGCTAACCATCTACAGGAAACTCCCTCTTGGAATCAGACCTCATTTCGTCGCTTTTCCTCCCTATGAACATCTGCTGAGCTCAACCACTCAAGCAACCTTTTGTTGGTGGTTTGGATTCGGATTTGAACCCCTGGCTTTTGTAGAGGGTCAATGGGACACCCCTCCGTTTCCCCAAACCACCGATCCAAACCACCAATTAGAGACCCCTCAGTTTGACCACCAAGCCACCGGGCTAACCAAACAGCGAGGGCCGTCGAACGGGGCTCGGGGGCTGAGGCATCGTCAACGACCCCATCATTTTGACTATCTACGCCACCGGTGCGCCGGACCTCACTTTGATCGACCTGCCCGGCATCACCCGGGTGCCGGTGAAAGGTCGGGATTTTTTTTGTTTTTTCGATGACTGGCCAGGGCTGCCCTACCGGCTCTTTGATTTGCTTAAGAATATTTTATATTTTCCCTTGTTGGTTTTAAAGGGAATCTGTCACTACTGGACATATTTTTTCCAGGGGGCTTAAGCAAATGGAAGGTCTCACCTTTTCTTGCTGATGCGATAGGTAGGGAATGAGGGAATGAACTTAGGGATTCCCTCCGAGGAAACCATATGGGATGGCTTGCAGGGGTCATTCCCTCATTCCCTACCGAGCACCAGCAAGTTTTGGTGTTCAAACCACTTGGGTGGTTCGTCCTTTTGGAGGACACCCTGTTTTGGGTGGTTTTGAAGGGAAGCGAAAAGGAAACACAACCAGCAACCACCACAGCACCTTGAGCGCACCCCAGCAGCACCATCAAGCACCAACCTGCTCCGAACTCGCATAACAGCTTGTCCGTCTTTGGAAGAAATTGAAGCTACCTAGGGAAGAAGAACACCCATAGCTAAAACGCGAAAGCTATCTGGGGAGCAGCACCTAAAGCACACAAACTTGAGCTTTCCTGACTTCCTAGCCGTTCCAACAAGCTGACTCTGACGTCGAACACGTCCATTTTGGGGTCCACAACAAGGGAGAGGGTACAAAGAGTGGCATGGAATCTCCGCAGCTTTGAGTGCCCATTTGCAAAGGAACTCATTGGACACCAGCTGCCCACCATTTTTGGGGATGGCCTAAGAAAAGACCACCGCTTTGGTCGTGGCCCAGGACAAAGTTGGATTCCATTGGTTTCAGTTCGGTCCTCTTCTCATTTATCAGTGGCATCCGTGTGTCCAAAAGGATGCCCCCTTTATTGGTGGTTTAAGCATCGCCCTTTGGCCCGTTTTACTTTGAGGAAATCTGCTTTTGCCAGAGCGGCTCCAAGTCATTTTCAGTTGAGGGCTTGAACTAGCCCGATTTCATGTCAAAGGTGTACATGGTTGAATCCACATTTCAGCGCGCTGCCATATTCTCAACTCACCATCTGAGTTATTTTGGAAACCTTTGGCACCCACAAGAGGTTTGAACATCCTCACTTGCAAGGGCCCACGGTTCGACAAGTGCCAGAATCTGCCAGAACTCTGCTCCTACCCGAAAAATCGCAGGTAGTGACCAGAAAGATGATGTGGAGAAGGTCACCCGGGACATGACCTTGCACTACATCAATGACCCCAGGAGTTGTTTCGTTCTTTGCCGAAAACCTGGAACACATAAAGGGAAGTAGGCAACTGCAAATAGACACCAGCTGAGTCGAGCCACCTTGGTTCGACTGGGCCTTCTGATTGTCCAACCTCAGGGCTGTTCGTTTGGTTCACCTCATCTATTTTTTCTTGAGGAAAGGGTTCTAACCAGCGGCCCCTATGGCAACTCACAGCGCCGGTTTTGCCTTTCAGGACGATTGTGCTGGCCGTCCTTCCGGCAAATCAGGACCGGTTGCCAGTCGCCCAGCCTGTTCCTTTCTTGGGCTCTTAGGGGCTTGCTTTGATTCAGGGTCTCCTTGCCTCAGGGCTTTGGGCTTGGGGGCTGGTTGGCATGGTTGGCATGGTTGGCGTCTGATTTGAGCAGAAATCATTTAATCCCTCAAACATGGGCTGGTTTCCCGTCGGTCATATTTGGCCCAGACCCCTTGCACCGTCACAAGGCAAAGCCTGAAGGAGCACCGCTTCAAGTAGATCTTGCCGACGACTTCTGTTGACAACTTCCGGTTGGATTTCGGAACCCGTTTGGCTTGCGAAGGCTCATGGTGCGCCCGATATCGGCGTGCAGACGTCACGTCAAGACATCTTTTTGGCAAATGAAGAACGGCATTTTGTTGGTTCTGCTTTAAGAGCACTGTTTAGAGCTGGCTTCCCAGGACTGCTGCTGTGTCGCTGACGCTCTCAGAGCCTGTTGTGTGACACTGGTTTTTTGGCACAACCTGTGCATGATGCTTTGAGTGTCTCCAAAGGGCAGCCATGGTGGCATACCGTGCGGACGGACGGACGGACGGAGGGAGGGAGGGAGGGAGGGAGGGAGGGATGGCTGGCTGCCTGAATGAGTGAATGAATGAATGAATGAATGAATGAATGAATGAATGGACGAATGAATTAGCGATTTAAGAAACGACTATACATATATATATACAGTTTAAAGTCACAAATCTAAATATATATATATATATGTATCCCGGATGGTTGCTAGTGGTTTGCGATTCTTCACTGAACCCAAACAGAAAGGCCCACCAAGATCCCGTGACTTCAGGACATGTCGGTCTCAGACTCCTTGGCCCTGGCGCGGCAAGTGGACCCCCAGGGCATGCGCTCCATCGGCGTCATCACCAAGATCGAGCCTCGGAGCCGACGGGGCCGGCGGGGGTGAAGACTGTTCAAAGCATGTTGTTGCTTTTTTTTGTTAGTTGTTGTCCCTTCCTTCATTTTGGTCGAAAGTTTGGCCCTGTTCCTTTCTCAAGGTGAAGATGGAACCCCCCAAGGCAATTTGTAGAGGAGCTTTACTGTTCTTGGCGTGGTTCCCTTTTATTCCCCAGGCAGTGTGTCTACACGGGGAAGGGCCAGGTTCGACCAGGGTGGGCCTTTTGGGCTGCAACGCTTTGTCTTCGCCGGCTCGCACAAAGCTCGATGTGTGCGCAATGCGCACGCTCGGGCAAAGTTCCTGAGCGAATTGGGTGTCTTCGAAGTGCGCACTCTGGCTTGCTGGTGCCGTGCGAATTCCGCAAATGGTGGCTTGGCTTTTTTTCCTGAAGTTCTCTCGCTTGGGCACTGCAAGTTTTGAACACCTAAAGCCAACGTCGAAGCCAACCCTCGGCGGTATTTGCGTGTGTTGCATCGGTGTCGTTGTGGCTACACGCCCTGGAACATCGACAGTGAAGTGAACCCGGACTTTGCGGTGCTCCTGCGCGGCGGTGCGACGTACAACATCGAAGAACAGAAGCTGCAAAGATTCTCCCGCAAGAGACTTGTAGGGGCTCTCCGCAGGGTCTGGACAGAGAACTTGGGTCCCTTCGTTTTGTAAAGGCTACCCATGAGTAAAATACCTGCGTTGCTTGGCTGCCATCTTTCCTCTCTACGTCAGAGTGCCCTGGGAGTTCCTACAGCAATGTTCGACAACGGCCTTCAGTGGACCTACAAAGCCACACAACAACCTTCCAAAATAAGTACTTGACCTACTCAAAAGAGATTGACTTTGGGGATAAGAGATCTCCTAAAAAAACGCCCATGCCTATACACTATAGACCTATAGACCTAGACCTACAAAACGCCAATCACCAACATGGGTGTCACGCCTTCCGCCGGTTTTGCTGAGGACATCATGGACCAGGGCACGGATGCCGCCACTATGCTGCGGGGCGAGGACGTGCCTTTGCGCCTGGGCTACGTGGGGGTGAAGATGCGTAGCCAGCAGGACATCCTCAACAAGAAGCCGGTAAAGGACCGAAGCCACCAGGGGGTGGGTCAATTGTTTCGCAGCCGAAAGCAAGGGGTCTCGGCCCAGCTAGGCTCTGGAGCAGTCTGCTGCTTGGGAGGGTTCCGGGGGATTTGAGGGAAATTCGGGTGTTGGGATGCTGCCTGGGTTGGTTGGTGGATTCTATTGAGAAACCAACAGGGAACCACCCGCATCGCCGTTTTTCCATGTTTTTGCCAGACGCAGTCACAGTAGCCAGGAAAAAGCAGCACCTGGCGATCCAGGTACGGTTCACTATTTTCAGACCAGCGGTTTTGGACGACGTTTGAGAGAGAGAGTCCGGAGGGCTGGCACTTCCGGCGTCCGCTCCGGAGTGGAACCCAGCATTGCCAGAAACTCACAGGAGCAAAGAGAGTCCTTTTTTACCGTTTTGGGTCGACCAAACGAGGAAAAACACGGGATGTGATCTTGAACGCCTATTTTTTGGACCCTCTTGAATCGCAGCCCGTTTGAACCTCCCGGGGACCGATTCAAACCAAACCACGGGGAATAACAAAAAATACCCCCAGTTGGTGGTTTGGATTCGTGCCTTTGGATTCGTGCGAAGAACAATCGTATTTTTTCATTGATCCACTCGGAGGTGAGGACTTGAACCTCTGGTTCTTCAGAGGGGCGACCCACACCGCTCTGTGCATTGAGCTTCCCTTCTTGGAAACCACCCCCCAAAAGGCACCGAGCCAATAACCAACCTGAGCTGAAACAAATCGGGGTTGGGGGGGGGGGGGGCATTTTTGTTGCGAGACGCCTAAGGCACTAACCGCACCGAGCCAAACCAACCTGAGCTGAACAGATTGGGGGGGGGGGGGGGCATTTTTGTTGCAAGGACTCCTTGAAGGAGGAGAAGGATTGGTTCGACAGCCACCGGGTCTACGGCAAGCTGCCCCCGGGCCTGGTGGGCACCCCAGTTTTGATCGACAAGCTCACGCAGGTCCTCTTCAAGCACATCCGAAGGTTCCTGCCGGAGATCAAGAAGGCCCACAGTGGAGCTGTCGTCTCTTTTTATGTGTCGTGTTCTTTTTTGTTTCCGGATAGTGTCTGGTCTTTGACATGTGTCGTTTTTGCACGCTCTTTCGGATGTGTTGCCCCTTTTGGGGTTTCATGCTAAATGTGCAGGGGGTTCCAACCATTCACGACACTGTTCATGCTTTAGTCCACTTCCGCACGAGGCCAAGCCCTGGGTTTCAGTCTACCTCCGAAAGTTTCCCAGCCTTCGCTGTTGTTGGCAAGTTTGTTGTTTGGTACTGATCTTACTGCATCGCCATGCAGAAAGGCCAGGAGTGTCTCCGGTGATGCCAGTGCAGAGGTGTTCTCCTTAGAATTGGGCGGCATGCGGCCATGAAGTGCGGAGTACTGCTCATATTTTTGATGAGGGGATGGGGCCTGCAAAAAGCGGTCAGCTTGTTGCAATCCCCCACCGTTCGGGTTGTGAAGCCCGCACCATTAACGAGGAGATCAACGAGAAGCGGCGGGTGGTCCAGGACAGGTTGGATGAGCTGGGTGAAGGCGTTCCCTTGGAGCCAGGAGAACGGGTTCAAGTGATGTGGACCTTGGTCACCGACTACTGTGAGATGCTCCCTGGAAAGCACAGTCGCCTCCCATCCACATGGAACCTGACTGAGGGGTGCCTCGAAGATCATTTGCCTCTTAGGTTCCATGTTGGTCGGAGTGAGGGTAGCGGGCTTCGTTGCGAATTCGCAATAGATGCTTGTTCGTCTTTTTTTCGGGTACCATTTCGGAGTTGATGTTTAACGGGAAGCAGAGGAAACCAATCATTTTGAGGGGCCCTAGTCTGAGACAAACCCATACATTGCCGACCCATCGGCAAATAGAAAAGCGACCTTGGTTCTCTTGTTCCGACTTTTGGCCCCAGGCCACACTTCTCCTAATGTTTTATGTCTGCCCCAGTAGTGCCCTTCTCTCCCCTTTTTTGGGTTGGGAGGGTTCGGGACCCGACTGAAATAGACTACAGAAAAAATCGGGGACCCCTTTTTTCCAACCTCCAAATCTGGAGGACCTAGATGTGCTTGTACTGTTTCTCCTTCATCCAGCCAGAAGTAACAGAGCCTCAAAGTTTGAAGGACTCAAGTTGGGAATTGGACAGATGCAGATGAATCATACCGGGGTAGAGCTGGGAATTGGAGAATGAATCATTCCCACCTTCTTTACCCTCATACCCCAATCTAGAATAGAAATGAGAACCTCGGAGTCATGATGTCATGAACCCGCATCAACTCGTCCGCTTCAAAAAGTAGTTTCTGCCTGTGCTTTTAACTTTTGGGGATGGCAAGAAGCAAATCAAAGGTGCACTAGCCTTCTTGAAGCAGTTGTTTGCTCATCCACACCCGCACCACAGGACCGCCACTCAAAGCTTGGACCGTTGCACATGCAGTCACGCAGGTTTGTCCACCTCCGCAGCTGAAGGACATGTTGACATGCTGAGTCCATCAGCCCACTGGTCCAGTGGTTCTTAGTTCATTCCGAAGGTGATGGCCTTTGTCTGTAGCCCTGAATCGGATTGGTGGGCTTCTGGCATTTAAGTGGCAAGTCCCTTCATGGAATTGGGGGAGCGGGGTGACCTCATCTCCAGTTATGTCAACCCATTTTCCCTTAATGAAAATACTGGATGAATGGAATTTGGGCACCTTACCCCCTCTCCCCCTTAAGGTAGGGGGGAATGGCGCATGGATGATCGAACTCCTGCACCCCCTAAAAATCCCTGGAATGAGGTTTCAAATTCGTGCGAAATGGATTTCGCAACCATCCACACCTCAGAGGTCACGAAACCGAGCAACCGAGCGCGCGCCGAGGTTCAAGAACACCATCCGCGGCAAGTACGACCGCAAGCTCCAGCGCTACACCGTGAACTTGGGGACCTCCGACAAGACCTCGGCCGGCAACAAGATCCGCACCTCCGGAAGAAAACAAAACAGTACAAAACACAGCAAGGGTTGGGCCAAATGGTTAGACAAGGGTTACACCTAAAAAGGTTTTAACATGTCAACTTCAGGAGACAAACCCCCCCCTGGGCCTCAACCCAATGCCTTGTTTGGCCGACAGGTGCGTAGGGCTACACCTGAGGCCTCCGCCGGAAAATCCGCGGCCGAAGCCGCGCTGGGCGAAAATTTTGAAGGCGAAACGGGGCTGTGGATGGACGAAATCAGTTCGCACCACTTTGGAACAATGAAAAACCATTGGTTTGTTGGCATTCAGAGGGAAATCATGGTGGTGCAGGATTCCGTCCATCCACAGTATTGGACTCAAGCTCCAATATATGTTACCCTCCCACCAACTAACATGGAAATACACAAAGCCCCCTTCCAAGAGGAAAGTCTTTCTACGGGGGTCTGTGCACTACCTTGCAACCAACGTCAGTTTATGAATATGGAGTCCGCTCCAAAAGTGGCCTGATCCCCCACATTTCACCCAGTTGAACACCCTCCTGTTAACAAACTGGGGTGGGGTTTCCCTTACGTCAGTAGGTTACAGCCATGGTCACAAGCCAACTAACCCCAGTTTTACCCTCGGCAATGCCAGGTCCAACCAAGACCCTTGGGGCTCAGTTCTGAACCCCCACAGGTCATCCGATTCGATCAACCTATCCGCAGGAAACCATCACAGGCGGATGTGTTTTTTTCTTCAGGTCATTCCTTTTCTCATTCACTGCCTTTCGAACCAGCAAGATGGCTTCATTGCTGCATTTGGCCAAGGGATGTTAGGACGTTAACCTTGTTGCCAACCAATGGGTTTTCCGTCTTAAAACACTAAAAGTTAAACTTTTAGCAGGGGAGAAGAAAGCAACCGAGTATCCATCTGCCAATCTATCATCCTATTAACCTATCAATCGACCTGGACCCTCCAAAGTCCAACTTAAAAATACGGGCTATTCCTCAAAATGATTGGGTGATGTCCCCTTGTTCTTCGTTAGTCGTTTAAGGGTGTCCAGGTGTGCTTCTCCCAACTATAGGCACTAATCAATCGATCGATCGATCGATCAATCAATCAATCAATCAATCAATCAATAAATCAACCAATAAATCAACCAGCCAACCAACCAACCAACCAATCAATCAATCAATCAGTCAGTCAATCAATCACTACATCCATCAACCCATCAATCCATCCATCTATCAATCTATCAATCCATCAATCATCAATCCATCAATCAATCACTACATCCATCAACCCATCAATCCATCAATCTATCAATCTATCAATCCATCAATCATCAATCCATCAATCCATCAATCCATCAATCCATCAATCAATCCATCCATCCATCCATCAATCAATCAATCAATCAATCAATCAATCAATCAATCAATCAATCAATCAATCAGTAACTGTTTCTCCCAACTAGGCACCATCATGAACGACTTCCTCATCGACTTCTGCGAAACAAAAATCACCTCGGACATGTCCGACGACGACATCGAGCGCGCCATCCGCTTACACGAGGGCGACTCCTTGCCTGGGTTCCCGTCCCCGGACACCTTCGAGCCTCGGTGAAGTCGAAATGGATATGGGTCAAAATTAAAGCACCAGGAATTGGACCGCAGGTTTTAGTCCTTGGTTCCATTTACTAGGGTTCCAGAATGGATACCCATTTTTGACCCACGGCCAAATGAGCCACTTGCTCAAAACCCAGGTAAGTGAAGGTTAAGGGACGATCCCAGCCATCAATAGCTGCGGATATCCGCCTTAGTTCTTGAAGCATGGTTTTGGGTCGACCCGTACTGGGTTTTGAGCAAGTGACTCAAATGGAGGTCCGGCATGGCATGGCATGGCTTGGTCGAATCGGATCCCAGGGAGCCGGCTGCGGTTTTGCCACGTGGATGGCTGCGAATTCCATTTCGCACCACTTTGAAACCAGGAAAACCCAATGAACAACCCATGCTGGTTGGCATGTACAGGGGAATCACCAATCCCGGGTTTCTTAGGAGGTGCAGGATTTCGTCCATCCACAGTATGGGTAACCAACAAATCATCCTTTCGGCTTTTCTTTGTTGCCCAGTGGTTCCCCTTAAAGCTCAACCAAAAGGATGCCGATTTTTGTTTTCCCTTGGCGGGCATTTGAGTCTTCAAGTGTGGGAAAGCCCTTTGCCTTAACCAGGGCATGGAAGCTCTGGTCATTCGAGTACACTCCCTCAGACTAAACATAGAAGCTCCCAGCTGGCGTCTGTACATGGAGCCAAGATGAACCAAGTCTTCCAAAGGGGTCATGGAAGCTTCCATGTTAGCCGGGGAGGGCAGATCTTTTGACTTTGACTTTTTGGTTGAAACAGGTCGGATTTTCAGTATTGGACCCACAAAAAAAGAAAACACTCTTTGCAGAGGGGTCAACAGCAACCAAGAGTTGGACCCGCAAGGTGGTGGTCTTCGTTTTGGCTTCCGTTTAAGCCGGCCTAAAAACAGGAACCCTCAAACAGCCACCAACCCATGTCCACGTGAGTCTGCTTTGCCCTAAAGCAGGCATGCGCCATTGCCGTGGACGGTCTTTAACTCTGCCCAAGCCCATGCCAAATAAAATATAGATTGGCCCACCCCTGCCTATATCAAGGATATGTTCAAGTATCCCCCGTGGTAGGTACTGAGCTTTTTCGTGCACGTTTGATTTGAGGCTCCCCGGGGACAACAAAACAAGTGGTTTGAATGTACGGTGGATGCCAGCATTTTCGGGCATCGTTGCTTTTCTTTTTCCAGGACCCCCCCAAACCAAGCCATTTCGGGCACCCACGGTGTCCTTCAAGCATCCCGACTCGATGCATTCTAGCTTGGCGGTTCCCAGCCATCCCAATAGCTTTTTTGGCCTTTTAGTGTTTAGTTGGATTTCCACTTAGCCCGCTAAAACTTATTCACTTTAGCAGGGGATCTGAGGACAGCCCACACAACAACCCCCCTCCCAACACACACCCCCCAAACCCACACCACCCCCCTCCCCCCTCCCCCCCCCGCGTGTCCTCGGCTACTTTTTTTTCCGGGTAAAGTGAATAGCTTTTCGTGGGTTAAGTGGACAATTCCGCTAGACTTCTTTTTTCGGGTGCTCGGGCTCCCAGGAGTTCCTGGCTCTGCCGCACCTGCAGAAGCTGGCCATCCCCGCGGTGGAGTGCGTGCACAACATCTCGGCAGCCCTGGACGTCTTGGCCCAGCGCATTGCCCACGCGGTCTTCCGCGCATCGGATCAAAGGGAACCCGCGAGTCGGTGGGTTCCTTAAGCGATCGGATTTTTTTGGTAGGTGTTTGGATTTTGTGTTGTAGTGTGTTTTTTTGGGTTTAAGGGCAAGGACGCCTTCCCCTTGGCCTTTTAGCTTTTTGGTGTTTACTGGTTGGATTTCCATTTAACCTACCAAAAGTTATTCACTTTAGTGTTTCTTTTTTGGGGGGGACGTTTCCCCTATTAAAATAGACTAGAGAAAAAACCGGGTACCAACTTATTCTAACCTCTCTACTGGAGGACCTAGTCAGAGTCAAGGAGCAAAAAGGGAGGGGATTGTTCGGTTGGTTCCTTGGGTTGTTGAATTTGATTGGTGAGTTTTTTTGAATTTTGCCTTTCTTTTGCGTTTTGTGTTTTTTTGGTTTAGGGGTTGGAACGATCCCCAGGGATATTCTAGGGGCACCTTCCATCTCCATTCTGAACCCAGGAATCCTTCTTAGCGCTTCGGGTTCAGAGGGAAAACGGATCCGATTTTTGGAAAGAACGATGGTTGAAAAGAATGGAACAGGAATCAACCCCTAGAGTTATCTGTTTGAGGTCCACCAAGAGGCTCCCCAATAAAATGTCACAACCCCATCTTTTGCAGGGTCCAGGCCTTGTTGGAGCAACAGCAGAGGGCCCTAGGCCACAGCCCTCAACTTCACTGCTTGGTGTGTGTTTGTGTGTGTGATTGCTGGTTTGCTTGCTTGCTTGTTCGTTTGTTTGTTTTGGTTTGTTTGTTGTTTTGCGTTTTCGTTTTTGGTTGGTGTTATAAGATGGAGGACACGCAGGGGAAAAACTCATCAACCCATTAGCTTGTCGAGCTGCTGATTGGTTGAATGATTACGTTGTCTTTGGTGAGTGTCCTGTGCATGTGATATCCCCACCCTCTTAGAAATGGAATTGGGGGAGGGGTGACCCCTGGAATTCCATTCATGGTTCCATGTTCCCTTTAAAGTGGGGCATGGAATGGAAGGACCCCCCACCCTCCCCTTAAGTTGCAGCTCATTTGGGGGGTCATGGGATCGATTCGTCACTCAGGAAGGTTCCCCAAAATGGCGGAATCCGTGCTGGCGATGACTCAGGAGATCATCCAGGCCGTCTTGTTTGCTTGGGTTCAGAAACCGGCCTCATGACGTCTTCCTGAAAGCCGCGGGGTTCGTGTTTTTTTTTGGTTTGGGGGGGTGTTTTGTTTTGCTTTTTTTTGCCATTCTGCAAACTTCCGTGTGGACATGATTGGCCAGGAGCTTTCGGAAACGGTTGGTTGGAAGTAAGTTTCCATCTTTAAGATGCTCGTTTATTTTTTTAGAAAAAGACAAACAAAACAGGCCACCATCCAAAGTCCCCCCCCCCTTTCCTGGAGGGTCTCTCGCGCCTGCTTGCCGCTTGCCCGAAACGTCCTAGGAGCAGAAGGATGAGGCGAGAAAGATCGTGGAGGAGCAAGTGGCCTGCTACACGGGGTACTTGTTCACCAACGACCCCGAGTACTTGACCCAGCACGGGTCCATGGAGCCCATGTACAAGACTCAGCAGCAGCAGCTCAGCGAAAAGCCAAGCAAGTGGAATGGCTTCCTTCAGGTAGCTTTTTGCAGGATAGTGCTGGATTCTTTTTGGGACACACTGGGTTGCCAGCAAGTGGATGCACCTCTTTTGACCTTCACTCCTGTCACTCCCTCCCACTCCTGGGAATCATTTCGAGTTCCACCAACAGCTTACCCTCCCGAGGGGAATGGACTCATGAAAGATTGCAGCCCTTTCAGCAAGGGCTATTCTGAAAACCTGTTTTTTTCTCGCAGGGAATGTCGGATGGTAGTAATTATGGGGCAGATTTGAAGAAACGCATATGCAAACCATATGGATTCTCATGTTGGCTCCAGACCCGATACCTTCGCACCCACCCATGGGTAGAAGATCCTCTCCGAAAGGCACCAAGTCTCATCCATGTGGGTGGGAGGGTATCCAAATTGTGACTCCCGCCCTCGACGCTCGACGTTCAGCGGTCAGGAAGCCCCCACCGCCGGTGGAAGAAGAGAAGAAGGAGCCGGGCCAGGTGGAAAAGACCTTTCAGCAGGTGAAAGATGGCAGCCGACAGGCGGCGCGGTGGGACGGTGGACCCGTTTTTTGTTTTCCTTGCCCGTGATTGTTGGGACCATTGTTTTTGGAAGTCACAAGAGGTGAACCTTTGAGCAAGTGAATCCGGGAAATGTTCAGGGCCAAGAAACCAATGGAGCTTTGCTGCCTGACGCTTGGTTGCATTGACTGCCATACACACTGGCGCACAGTTCAAGGGGCATTCATGTAAGGGCATGGCTAGGGCTATTGCTGCACCTCCCTGCCTCCCTCCGTCCCTTCCTTTCTGTCCCTCCCTCCGCTCCCCTCCCCTCCCCTCCCCTTCCCTCCCCCCCGCCCTCCCCTCCCTTCCCCTCCCCTCCCCTCCCTCCACTTTGGGGCCTGCAGGCGTACCAATCGGTGAGCAGCACAGTGAGCTCGATGATAAAGAAGAACGAAGTCCAGCGGAAGCAGCAGAGATACAGCGGGCCCTTTGTTCAGGACTCCTCTCCAGGTCAAACGAGCAAGCTCGGACTTGCTTGCCCAGTGCTAGGTCCCCCAGTAGTACCCTTTTACCGTTTCTTTTTTGGGGGAGGGTTCCCCCTACTAAAATAGACTACAGAAAAAAGGGTGCCCTTATTCTAACCTCTCTGCTGGAGGACCTAGGGTGGCTGGTCAGTTAGTTGGCTGGTTAGTTGGTTAGGTTGGTTGATTAATAGGCTCTTACTTGGGGATTCCCGGCAAAAGAGTCGCCAAATTTTGCGAGGCGGCTGGAATACCAGCCTTCCAGTTGAAACTGATGGGAAATGGTGATCAGTTTTCAGTGCAAATCCCTCGCCGTTTTCTGGGTTCCCACGATTTGTACGAAATTTGAGGTAAACCCTTGTGAACCCCCCTGCCATGCCGCGAACCATTCCGCTTTTTCAGCCCTGGTGCAGGGATCGTCCTTTGTTTTGGGGTAGTTTTGGGTAGGAAATCTGTCTGACCTTGTTGATCTTTTCACCTACAGGGAAATCTATTCCACCAAAAAGGGGTTTCTTCCGTTTTCCTTAGGGGTAGTGGCCACCACCCGTAAAAAAAATTCAACATTTCATTTGGGGGAAACCATCCCTCATGTGACCCCTGAAAAAATCCATCCCCCAAGTCTTTTCCACAGGTGTCGAATTGTTGTGCATTTTGCGGAAGCAGATGGTGACGGTGATCCATCCTCGATTTCTCGTTTCCCCTGCCTTTTGTGAGGAGATCCGAAAGCGATTGGACTCCTACTTCGAGGTGACGGTGAGGAACGTGAGGGATTCCATTCCCAAGGCCATCGGATATTATCTCGTGAGCGCCCCGGCCGCCACGAAGGCTAAAATTTCCCTCTTTGATTTCCATTCCTTTGGCCAAGGAATGGTTTTTCATGGTGCGTTGAGTACCTCAATTCCTGAGCTTCTGGACTGAAAGCAAGTTTTGGGAAGACCATCTTAGTGGCAAGCACCACGTTGGGAGAGGTACAAATTTGCAAGCTAATTCTAACATGCATGGGGTTTGGCTTAGGTGTCGTGCCGCCTTTTTCTTTTTTCCGGGATGGGGTGTCCCTGAAATCGAAACCGACCGCCAAACCTAAATGACCGGCAACCAGTCCTTTGTTACTTTTCAGTTGGAGGTGGCAAAGACATGTGTTTCCCTTCTCAGGTGGGTCGCGCTATAAAGTCAGCCAGCCGACAAGAGTGTCGTGTTTCCTTGCTTACCCGCTCTCGAACATCAATCACCAAAACGGAGAAGCAGGCCAAAACACCCCGTCCGCCTTCCTTTACCATCCCCCCCCATGTTTCCAATCCCGCCGAAGGCGTGGTTGGTATTTAAAGGGGAAGCAGCAGGAAACCAGCCATTTCAGGGAAACCAGTCATTTAAACCACTGATGTTTAGACACAAGGCATGGCATAGTTTCGGATGCCCTCTTTGGCTTACATGGCCTTGCCAGTTTCTGTCTGACCTTGCCTCTGGAAACCCCCAGCATTTTCTTGGGCACCTCGTAGAGCAACTCCTCTCAACCGCTGAGGAGCGGTGCAGGACAAGCTCCAGTTCGCGCTCCTGAACGCGCTGAACCAACCGGATCAGCTGTCTGCGCTGCTGGGTGAGCCGCCGCATATCATGGAGGAGCGCCGGACCTTGACCAACCAGCTGCAGGCCGGACTGAGTCTCCGCCCGTTTCGATGGACTCTTCAGTTAATCTTGGTGGCTCCCAGCCATCCCCTTAGCTTTGTAGACTTTTATAGTTTAGTGGGGGTTTCCATTTGACCCGCTAAAAGTTAAACTTTTAGCAGGGGATCTGAGGACAGCTCAGTTCAGTTGATGTTGACCCAATGAGTAATCAACCAACCAACATCAGTGGAGTCTTGCATTTTGCGTGCAGCTGGGTCCAAGCTGCGCTGGTCGCCTGGTCTGTTGCCGGAGCTTTCTGCCAAGGCTCTGTTGGACCAATTTAGGAAAGAAGAGGCTCTGCCAAAACTCTATTAAACCAAAAAAAAACCTTCATTGAACGGACTTAAACCACAAAATCTTTGGACCTTTTTTTGGCAACTCCACTCAAGCGAGCGGGGGGGGGTTGCTTCGGGGATCTGGTTTCAGAATCCAATCCGATGTCTGGGGCTCAAGCCGGGACCTTTCGATTTCGGCTACTTGCTGCGAAACATTTCCGAAGCAAACGACCTGGTCGAAAACTGGCAGGGGCAAGCACAACGAGGGCCCGAAAGGAAGTTTCAATTTGGGTGTTTGCATCTTCAGGTTTGGGAATCCACAGGGTTGGGCTGGCAAAAGAATCAGTTGCCTGTTGCCCGGGGTTTCGACTGGAGGTGATACTGCACTCATGTTCAATTCACCTAAAGTTGAGGCAAGTTTCTGTGGTACATACTCTTGCTGGACCCGTTTTCAAGTGACAAAAGTCACGTCTGGAGGGGAACCAATCACAGACAAGGCCAGCCCACCCAATTTCAATGTCGCTTCGACGGAAGGCATAGATGGCGTACAAACCAACAAACCAAAGCTCCGAAGCTCCAAGTGTAAGGTTTACTTCCATTTGGCTAAGAATATGTTTCATTTTCCCTTGTTGGTTTTAAAGGGAATCTATCACTACTGGATTTGTTGTGTTTTTTTTCAGGGAACTTGAGCAAATGGAGGTTGTTGTCCCTTCCAAAGCCGTATAATTATTCTCGTGGTTCACCCAGATTAACACGAGATAACTTCCACTGCCGAGTGTCTCCTGCGCCAAATGACGAAAACAACCCCAAGTCATGGTTGTTGTTGGGAAGCATTTTACCTTTTTGCTTATTGTGGTTTGGTGGGAAATCCCCACTTAGCTACAAACAAATATATTTTTGCTCCCCTTTCAATGTCAACCAAGAAGTTTCCTTTTGCAATTCAATGAAGAACTGAAAGCTCCCGGATTCCGTTCAAAGAATAAGCCCAGGTATCCCAGGTGATATCCCCAACAGCCCCGGAACCTCGGAACCTCTTGAAACCCTGTTGCTGGGAACCCTACCTCGGCCGGAGCCCAGTTTGAGCAGAGACCCCATAATTTCCAGCTGTTGGGAAAAGGGACACTGCTGTTGGCAAGTTCTTTCTGTTTCTTTTTCGTGTTCTGCCCAACCCCCCCCCCCCCCCCCACTGTTTAAACTCTTCCGCGCCACACGCCCCCTGTCGTCCGTTCCCACGTCGCTTCTTCCGTGGCTTGCCTTCCGTGGCTTTCCTTCCGCTCGCTCGCTCCGCGGCCAGTTTCAGCGCCAGGTGCTGCAGAAGGCCAGCGGCGTGCTGACGCGGGACCCCACGTTGGCCGCCATCGCCTTCGAGGCCGAGGACGAGGAGCCGGCGCCCCGCCGGCCGAGCGCGGCGGGGACGGCGGCGAATGTGGCGAACGCGGCGGCGCCGGTGGTGTCCAAAGCGCCGAGCTCCTTGGGCGCCCTGGGCGGAGGCGGGGAGAGAGGCGTGAGAAACAGATGCGAGTCCTTGAGCATCATTGCATTTTTTTTTTTTTTTTGGGGGGGGGGGGCGGGGAAATTCGGAACATTGAAGACATTGGTTTGTTCAGAAGGTATGGCCATGTTGAGAACTTCAAACAGGTTGACGCAACCCGATGTTTAAGCGAGTGCTATAAGAAGGTTCAAACTGGGTTTGAGCAGCGGTTTCAACAGGTTCCAACTAGGGTTGTGGGAGCAAGATGTTTTGTCTCCCACTTCTATGATTCAATGATGCCAGGAAACCTGCCCTTGCAAATAATTTATCATTTGGAACGCCTTAGTATCACAGAAATGGGTAATTCCCACAACCCCAAAGGGTTCAATGAACCGCCCGCCCCCTGCCCCCCCCACGCCCTCTGGATTCGTCGTGTGGAAGGCCTTGGTATCAGAGAAGATGATCCCCACATCCCGTGGGCTCAACAAGAACCGCCCCTCCCCCGACTCCAGGCGCGGGGGGCCCGAGTGGACCCCCCAAGTCCCTCTTTGGCGGTCCGGGTCCTGCGGCCGCGCCGGCGCGGGGGCTCTTCGATGAGCCCAAGCGGGCGCCGGCAGCACGGAACCCCCTGATAGACGGGTGAGCCCCATGGGGTGGCACCTGGAAAAACGGACCCCTTGAGGAGATTGAACAAGTTCCAGCCCTACAGTTGCTATGTTCGGAAGGGTTCGCTTTGAAGAATTTGATCGATGTTCGAACTGGCGAGTTTCCCTTTGGCTTCATTCATAGTGAGAGTATCGGGAACCCAGAACCCAATAGACCCAAAACGAAGCCAAAGTCTCTCAGAAAACCCAATCAGATCGGTTGCAAGCTGAGACAGATGGACGCCTTGCGGGTTTGCAGAGCAAACCCTGCTTAGCCTCTTTTGAGAGGCAGGAAAGACACCAAAGGCGCCGCGGAAAACCTGAGCTGAAATGCGTTCGCGCATGGAGTAACGAAACACTGGGGAGCCCAGCTGTATGAACAGGGTGATGGACAAAATCCACACCGATCGGCAGTTGATAGGTGTTACTGTATATGGGTTCACCCATCCTAAACCCTCAGGGTGTGCTCGCAATGGCTCCAACCCAGGTAGAATTTGTCACTTTTTGCTAGCTAAGGGGATGTGGCAATAGTTTTCCAATCAGGCATTGGGGCGGAGAGGTGGAACTAGCTTGGTACTCCTAGGGGTGCACGGTGCACATCACAACCTCGATCCAAGGAAAGTGGCGTTCACAGGCAGGTGGACAACTGGTGGGCAAAACCAAGTATTCACAAATTGAACCGGGAAAACTCCCACGGGATCAGCTTCATACGGCTCACTCAGATGTAAAAGGAGCTCACCTATAAAGATGCCTCACTGTGACTCACAGTTCTTGGATAGATTGTTCAAGTCATGTATCTGGGACAGTTGGACTCGTATCCCTTAAAAGTGGTTCATCACTTTTTCATCCAAATCCCAAGGCAGATTGTCAGAATGAATCTGAACAATTTGTGGCGAGCTCACCTGCTCACCTGCTTTTGCTTCTTCGTAGTATTCGCAGTCGACACACTGCGATTCCCTTCTTTGTTTGAAGGTACTAGTACTTGGGTTTGTGGGCTTGAAGGGAAACCACAGGGAAACCACAGGGAAACCAAAGGGAAACCGAAGCCATTTTGGCACCCGATTTAACGGGACACCAACAGGAAGTTGAAGCCGTTTTGAGGGCTCTGGAAGTGTGAGACAAACCCAACTACCCTCCCGCCCAGTGGCATAAAGCCTGACATTCCGGCGGGTGGCTTGGACCATGTTCCTTTTGAAGGACCTATAGCAGGTAACCAGCAATTTTCCTCTTGGTTTTCTATTGGGTGGTTCCCTTCTTTACCTAGTGTTTTTGGTAAATGGATCCACCTGCCAGCGCCGCTTCGCGGCGGAACTGGCCAAGCGCACGCTGCAAGCTGGCGACCTCACGGTGGCTTCGAGGGATCCGAGATCGACAGGGAGTGAGTTGGATGGAATGACCCCAAGAAAAACCATCCTTGTGGTTTGACTAGGGGATCCCCAAACGGTTCATTCCCAACACCTGGCAGGTACGATTCAGGCAAAGAGCTAGATTGAACCCCCAGGTTGGCTGTTAAGGACTGACATGAGGTTCCCAAACTGTAGCAGGGGTCCCCAAACACTCCCCTTTGAGTGATTTAAGCTGAGCCGGCTTTTGTTGGTTTCCTATGTGTCCAAGTTGGATCCGTTGAGCGCAATCTCGTTTCTGGTGGGCCCTGCTTGAAGCCTTTGGACTTGGATCTGTGCCAAGTTGTGTCGGGCGGATTCGTGGCGTGGAAATGTGGGGATGCCGATGCCTTGGTTCAGGCGGATATTGCCTTGGTATGCAGAAAACGCCGCCCAAGGCCCCCCTCTCTCCCCTCCCCCCGGGAGTTTTCGATCTTCTTTGCAACTCCGAGAGTGGCAAACAGCAACTGGAACCCGGCCCTCTTTGAAAGGGAGCATGTTGGGGCGGGGCACGTAGTTGAGGAGACTTCTTTCTAATAGCCATAAACGGGAGCTTCCACATGACGTAGCATTCGGAAGGGATCCATTCAAGCTTCCCCAAGTTCCCTTTGAACCGGTACCCGGTAGCTTTGGTGCATCTTGCTTGGATGTTAGGACTTTAACTTTTTGCCAACTACTGGGTTTCCACTGAAAGTTAAACTTTCAACAGAGCAGATTTCGCAACCGCGGATGGTCCAAGTTTCGCAGGTGGCAGCTTGGTGCTTCGCCAGTACCGAGCTCTGCGAAGCCTCCACCTTGCTCTGGCTGACGCCTGCTCCCTAGAGTGAACTTACCCGCATACTTGCATGCTCTTGCTTTGGGAGTTGACCTTTGACATTTTGGACAGATCGATTGGAATACTGTGGATGGGCAAACCCCTGATTCTTCTGTGAATACCAACAAGCAATGGTTTTAACCATGGCTAAGTGGTGCGTCCATTCACGGTACACCTTTTGACCTTCAACCTGGTCGGGCAAATAGTCCCAATTACCTCATGACCATACCACCACAATGTGCAGCTACTTATCCCCTGCGTGGAGGATCTCAGTTGCATGAACCATGCCCCATGTCAAATTCGCTTCGCGCCTGGCCACTTGAACACTTCGAGGCGCAGCGTTCACCAGAAGGTGAACGACATGACGCATCAGGCCTCACGCAGAAATCTGGACGCACCCTACAAACGATATTCAAGGACTCTTCTCTTCAGCAACATGCGCAACCTAGAAACACAGGAAACACAGGGAGCTTGGCTTTTTCTGTCAAGAGCAATGGGCATGGCTGTGCATTGTACAAACTTGTTATCTGAGACTACTTTCTGTGACGTTAACAAAATTCACGCTTGAGAGACAAAGTACTCGTGGGGATTCTGGATGGCCCATTCTGGTGGCACAGAAAGGGCTATTTCCCACAACCGGGGCGACAGGTGAAGCGAGTGACTCAGTCCTTCAAAACAACAGTCCTCTTAGCTTGCTGCTTTGCGGCTGCATTCCACGGGCGCCCCACTTCAACTTGTTGGGAACTTGGCATTCCGGCCACCAGTTGGCGCGGTCCATGTCCTGTCGTGCGGAAAGCTTTCCCTTCTGGGACGTGAGTCTTGGGGATCTTTCGGTTTTTAACTCCACCCCGGTGCTGAAGTGGACATGCTGTGGATGACACGGAATCCGCTCGCACCGCTTTGAAAACATCATCAACCCAACTCAGGGCTATGAATGGTTGATACAGCGGGGTTCCATGTCCATCCAAGGTGTTCCCTGGTTGGTATGTTCATTTCGCATGCTCGAAGCGAAGTGGCCTGACGACATGCCATTTGCTCGCAAAAAAAAGAGCAAAACACACCAGCTAAATCACCAGGCTATGTAACTTTTAAGGGCAAATCTGCACACCAGAAGGGTGTTTTGCTGCTGTTTTGAGTTTTGTTTGGCTTGTCTCTTGATGGTTGGCAGCCATCCTCTTAGGTTTTGGGCTTGTTATTTGATCAAGTGGTAGTTTTGATTTCAACTCACTACAAGTCATTCACTTTTAGCACGGGATCAGAACAGACAGCCCGGCTTTTTTTGTTCCATCTTGCCTTTCTTGGTGTTTTGTTTTGCCCGCTTTTGGGTTTCTGCTACCCTGCCACCCTTTTCACGTGGAACGTGACGCTCGGCGGGATGCTGACTTGGACCATTTTCATTTTCCTGTTAAAAGGACCGGGTCCCGAACGTCAGGCTCCGGCTGTTAATTGGCGGCAGTGGGAGGGTACCTGCTTTGTAGTTTTGTAGGTATCCAAGCAAAAACCGCCTTTCAACACCAACAGGAAAATGGTCCAACCCAGGACCCTTGAATCTAAGGGTGGAAGTACATACCTTTTGTTCATACCTTTTCTCTTCCATGGTTTCCAACCCGCTTTACAAGGGGTATATACCTCTTTTGGGGATAGGGGTATGAACACCAGCAGGCTTTTTTGGTTGATTTGTCCAAGGGGCATGTACTGGATTGAAGGCGGTGGCAGTGGGATGGTACCTGTTTTGTAGTTTTATAAGTAACACCCCCCCCAAAAAAAACACACACACACACAAGAAACATAAAACATTCAACAAAAGGAAAATGGCCACACCCACCCACACCCACCCACCCACTTACCCACACCCACCCACCCACCCACCCACCCACCCACCCACCCACCCACCCACCCACCCACCCACCCACCCACCCACCCACCCACCCACCCACCCACCCACCCTGAAGGTCAGGCACCCGTGTTTCCCTTTTTTGGGGTACGGGTTGGGTTTCTTTCGGCCAGGACCTGGCCAACGTGGCCTGGGCCTACGCCAAGCTGGGCGCGGGCGACGGGGACTTGGCGGCCCTGAAGCCGCAGCTGCGGCGCAGGCTGCCCGAGCGCGGGGCCACAGATCACTTTTGCGGCAGGGTTGTGGGGTCAGAGAGTCACTGGTTCATCCCCACTGTGATATCCCAGAGCTTGGCTATCACCAGCTGCGCTGGCCCTTCCCACCCTTCCCACCTTCCCACCATTCCGGCCCCACCTTCCCACCTTCCCACCCTTCCCACCCACCCCTTCTCACAAAGAAACCTTCTAACAGCTTGCATGGCTTCGGCACCTCTGATGGACGGCTTACCGATGGTGCGGCAGAGAGAGAGGTACAAAGAATGGCTTCTCATGGATTTTTGGTGGAGATTTCCAGCATCCTTCATGGCTATTGGGTAACGGATCTTTAGGTTTGAATGGGGTTACCTATGATTCTCTATCTCGAGTTGATTTACCGCCGTTACGTTGACGGAAGGCCAGACTTTGAGCCTATCTTACCTTCACGTTATGGCAAAGCGGAGCTGAGCTATAAGAGGGTTAGAAAAATCCTTCTTGAAATTTGGTATGAAACTTCGTGGCTATGAACTGACCTTCAGACTTCCAAGAACTCTTTGGTTGAAATCAGTTGGGTTTTCCGAATTGGATCCAACGTTGAAAACTTTTTGCAGAGGGGTCAACAGCAAACAAGAATCGAAAGGGTGCATGTCAATTAGGTTGTCCCTAGTTAGTGGTTTGGATTGGTGGCTTGGGGATTTGAACTGTGGTTCTTGCAGCGTGTCTTAGAATCGGGTGCCCAACAACATGTCGTTGTGTCCCCTTTGGTTTCAAAC